CCTGATTTTAGATTTTTTTAAATACTGGTAGCCAGATTTTGTTTATTTGCATGGTTTCCTCCTTTCTGTTGAAATTGTCCACATGCTTATGGATTTCAATGTCTTCTCTGTGTAGCCTGACATGGTGGTTGTTAGAGTGATCCAGCATTTCTGTGTTCTCAAATAATATGCTATATACAGGTTGGTTCATTAGGTGCTTTGCTATGCCTGACATCTCAGGCTGAATGAGTCTGCAGTGCCTTTCATGTTCCTTGATTCGTGTTTGGGCAATGCTGCGTTTGGTGGTCCCTATGTAGACTTGTCCACAGCTACATGGTATATGGTAGACTCCTACAGAAGTGAGAGGATCTCCCACTCTGGACATTCTACAGATATATAAACCTCACTTGCCTAGTTTCCAACAAACTTCACAACCTCTGAGGATGCCTACCATAGATGTGGGTGAAACTTCTAGAACATGGCCATACAGCCCGGAAAACTCACAGCAACCCAGTGATTCTGGACATGAAAGCCTTCAACAACACATTAAACTGTATTGCTTTTTGAAAAGTTTTAAAATATTTTAAATTAAATTTTATTTTGTGAACTAGAGATTTGGAGTATGTTTAATACTGTGATCAGGTTGAATGGTTTGTTTTAACATTCAGTTTTTGTATGTTTTTCATTTGGTTACTTTTAGTAACTGGAAGTTGCCTTGAGTTTTAATTTTTGGAGAAAGGCAGGATACAAATAAATATACTACTATTGCTACCACTTCTCCTCCTCTTTCTTCCTTTTAACAAGCTTAACTAGTCTCTCCAACCTACTCAGTGAAACCTTAGTGAGGTATTGTTTTTGTTTTTTTTTAATTAGAGAAACAATGTCTACTGGAGCTTATCCTGAAATCTTTATGGGGTGATGTTTGATTTTAATATACTACAAAGTTTGTGGGAGAAAGAGATAACTTTTATCTAATTTTCAAAGTATCTTTCCTGAAGTAAAGGTAACACTTGGCTTGATGCTGCTCGGGCGCCAGATTTGCAATGTATTGAGTGTGTTTCCAACTTACTTTCCATATGCTACAAGCGGGCCTTTTAGTCAATTTAAATAAATACCTCAAATGGGAAGTTGTGGTTCACACATTATTGTTGCTGTGGGCAGATTGATTCATTCTCCAATGACAGTTCACACCGCGGCAGAAATACACTCCTAATGTTGCATACATTAATGGGCTGGGATGCTACTGACTAATACACAAGTCAGAAGCAAGGGGAAATAAGTTTGTAACACTGCTCTAATTATGCAGAGCTGAAAAGTTTTCATCATGAGGTTCCTGGTACTGGAGGCAGACATTTTCTTTGCATAGGCTCTTCTCCATATTTGTTTTGACACAATCTAGGCTGGAAAAAAAAGAACACACATCTTCTAAATGTTGATGAACTAACTGCTTTCCCATAAAATCCCAGTACTAGCCAGGCTGTCAGTGGTGGGAATATTATAGGATGAGAGTTGGAATTAAAAAAGAACATCTAGTGGGCCACTGGTTTCTATCCCTCATTTAGGACTCTGGGCCCTTCCACACAGCCATATAACCCAAAATATCAAGGCAGAAAATCCCACAATATCTGCTTGGTACAGGATTATCTGAGTCCACACTGCCACATATTCCAGTTCAAAGCAGATAATGTGTGGTTTTATTCAGCTGTGTGGAAGGGACGTCAGATGTAATCTAGGGTAAGAATGTACAACTATTCCTTCCATATGCTTTGAATTGCAGGTCCAACCCCCCCCCCCACACACACACACACACATGGCTAGTGAGTGGAAAATTGCAACCCCAAAGCATTTGTAATGTCAGAGTTGTTCATCCCAGTAGTCACAGAAATACTGAAAATTGGAGTGCTGCAGTGAACTGTGGATGGTGAAGTTTATGTCTGAAGAGCTCCAATTAAGAGGTGCTGTGAAGCATCTTTTCAAAACACATAAGCAAGAATGCCTTTTACAAATGCAGCATTCCCAATCTGTTACTCATTGCCTTATATCTATGGTATTTGCCTTTGTGTATCCTCACAACATCTGTATAAATGGGTGTGTGTTGATAACAATTTCATCTGCATTTACTCCCATTGTTTCAATTTGACATTGTGATTTGTTGCTCTTTGGTTTGAACCCTTCTGGACTATGACTGAAATGCATACTGTCTGTCAAAAAGCCCAAATAACTCAGAAAGCATCAGATTCCAGCTGATTCGGGAAGCTAAGTAAGGTCTAGTCAGGTTACTAATTGGAATGAGAGACCACCAAGAAATGCCAGGTACTGTAAGCTACATTTTTGGAGGAAGGTAACTTCAAACTATCTCTGTGTATTCCTTGCCTAAGAAAACTCTATGATATGGAGTCCACATACCACAAATCAACAGGCAGTTAGAAAGCAGGGACTCACGCATATAAGGTAACACAGTAAATGTTTTCCAAACACAGACTTCCATATGATGATCTACAACTTCCATCAGGCCTTATTAGCATTGGAAATGGCTCCCTTATGCACTCCCTTTCCTTCCATAGGGAAGCCAAGAGGATGCCTTCTTGGTTTTCCTTTCGGTGGCAAACCTTTTCTTTTTCAGCAAGCTTTGGGAAATGCATTTTAACAAAAACATTTTTATAGTGCTGTACCATGTCTAATCTTTTTCGTTTTAATCGGTTTTCATAGGTTTGACTTTATATTTTTTAATTATATGTGGTCTATTATATTCTGGTTTTATGTAAGCCACCTTGAGTCCCAGTTTGGAGAAAGGTAGGATATAAATTAAATAATAGATTAATAGAATACGGTGTTCCTTGACCTGATGCGAGATGTGTCGCTCTCATTGCCATGTGGTTTTTGAGGCAACATTGTAGTAATGGTGAATCCATAGATAATATTTTCATTCTTGCAGACCACTGGTGGTCCACGGACCACAGGTTGGGAACCACTGCTTTAGTGTCACCATAACACAGAAAATAATTGAAGGAACCTAACAAGAACAATGTGTGTGTACAGTATTATGTACTCAAAGTACAGGATAACTTAAGACTAGTTTTAGGAAACAAAAGCAAAATCTTAAAACAACCAATACTGATTTCTTATTTCTTAACCCACTCAAGAAGCACTCAAAAACAACATGAAGAAAATCCTTCTTCTTCATAAAAGAGAGCATAAGCATAGATAAGAATGCTGATTCTTGTTGAATGCTTTTGGGAAGAGACAGGGAACTATAATTTAAATGTGCATACAAGAGGTAGTCAAAAGCTGTTGTCGTGAAGGTACACACCTTGCCCTTGGGCTCTCCAGGCCCATTTGTCAGCTTGAGAAATGCAGCTCCACCTCAGCATAAGGGTGGCAAGACCCAAAGCACTTGTGCTGAGCTTGGGACACAACTCTCACTGCAGTTGGGATCAGGCGCTGCCATGTTTCTGTAACTGTTAGCTAGGATGATGGCAACCAAGGATTGGCTGAACAGGTGGAGAGGAGCTGATACCAGTTCCAGTGGAAGTGTAGGACCTTTCCTTTTCTGAAATATATATCACCTTATCTGCAGGAGTCACAAGGACTAATAAACAAACCAGGATTTAGTTCAGTATATCCATTTTGTTATCAAACTCTCCAGTATCCAAAGTAGATTATAGCAAAATTATGAGTCCAGAGTTTATACTATTGATAGTTTACAGTCAATATTAAAACAGTGACACTCAATTTTGAAACAGACTAACGTAACTCTTTTTAAAAGTTTTGCTTGCCTACTTAGAAAAGAAAGCTGCACATGTAAGCAAGCATTTTTCAAAAATGGTAAGCATTTTAAAGGTCTTTCAAAGTAAGAGTACAATCTTTCACATACGATATAATCTGTGCATCTGCAACAAGGGAGGTTCACCGGAACCTGATAAAGGTTAGTTATACGATCATTCTGGGCAATTATATTTGCATTGGGAAAATGCATGGAAAGAAAAATCCACTGAAAATATCAATTAGCAAATGGAGAATGGGGGGAGCCAAAGACCTTGAGTTTGACACATGTGACCTACATCATTGACTCACCAGGTATTCCTTTCACAGTAGAAACAGGTTGTTTGAGTGTCAAGCAACCAGAAAAGGCCCGTAGCCAGGATTTCGTTTCGGGGTGTGTGTGTGTGTGTGTGTGTGTGTGTGTGATTTTTTTCAGGGGGGGGGGTTTTGATTTGGGAGGGCTGAGTCTGAGTGAAAGAGGGTCTACCTAGCAAACCTTTTGTATCATTACCCCAATACCCCCATGCATATGGGATATATTGAGTATGGTGATCAGATCATGATATGAATAAACATAACAGTTTAAATAATGCACCAGTAAGGCCTTTCGCGAACCACCATGAGAATTTCGGGGGGGGGGGAAGCCCCCCAAGCCCCCCCCCCCCCCCGGGCTACATGCCTGGCAATACATAAACAAGTACAAGCAGCTGAACTTCCCTTTGGTAAAAATACAATGGCAAAAACACTGTTAGCACAAAGGGCATACAATTGTGCTTTTCAAAGGCATAACTACATTTACTAGATTTTAAATCTGGTCAAAAGTACTTATGGGAAGAGAGGATGTTCCGCCATGACAGAACATAAAAGCTTTACCCAATGGTTCTCAACCTGTGGATCTCCAGATGTTTTGGCCTTCAACTCCCAGAAATCCTAACAGCTGGTAAACTGGCCAGGATTTCTGGGAGTGGTAGGCCAAAACACCTGGGGACCCACAGGTTGAGAACCACTGCTTTACACTAATATTTGATTTAGTACAATGATAGTAATGCTATAGAACAAAAACATTCCACGAAGCAACAATGGTTCCACAATCCACAATCCATTCTCAACTTCTAATTTATTTATTTTTATTTACAGCCTTTTTATCCCGCTCTTTTCGGCCTCTTTTGGCCTAAACACATACCTTGCTATCTGAAACTGCTGTGTCCCATGAATCAGCAGCAAAACTGTACCCTACCACAAAATGTACAACCACACAATTGAAAAACAATATTTTTTTAATTTTTATCTTTAGAAAAAAATTACAAAAGTGTGACAAGTCAATATATTAGAGCACATTTTTACATATTTTATTTTCAATAAAAAAGGCAATACTGAACGAAAACAAAATTTTATAACATCATTGGTACGGAATAGCAAGAAAAAAAGATTAGGTGAAAATATCTTCCCAGCTGCAATTTCTCATTTTGTATGGACCGTTCCACCTATTTCACCTACAGCATTTCAGTTATTACAGGACTCCGTTCCCTCAAGATGCATTCACTTTCTGGAGGTTTTGAACACAGTGGTTTTATTAGAAAGTTTTGAATTAAAAAGTTTATGCTCCAATATACATACTTCCTCGTGGATGAGAGAAGGCTGCACTCGCAGAAGGAAGGAGAACAGACCTAACACAAATCGGTAGGTATGGGGGAAGTCTGATTCTTTGTAGTGTGACAAATTACCACAGTTCCTATGATAAAAGAAGAGAAAGTGAAGAAAATATCATAAACCTATACTAATAACAACATTAAAAAGAGGTCTATCCAATCAATGCTATCTGAAGTTCTTCTCATATCATTACAACTAATCTTTTAATTATGGTAATATATAGAATGTGTTGTTGAAGGCTTTCATGGTTGTAATCACTGGGCTGCTGTGAGTTTACTGGGCTGTATGACCATGTTCCAGAAGCATTCTCTCCTGACGTTTCACCCACATCTAGGTAGGGGCATCCTCAGATGTTGTGAGGTCTGTTGGAAACTAGGCACTTGTTCTCAGACTAACTCTGTTATCCATAACAATTTCTATTTTAGCTAGCTAACTCACTCACTATCAAGAACAAAAAAATGGGTCACACCTGTAAAATGCACCCATCTTTTTATTATTCATAGAAACAATAACTGAGAAGCCAAATAAAGCCCTTATTCCACATAAGTATTTTCCAGTCATTTCATGTTAGTTGACACAAACAAGGAAAATAGGGATTTCTCTATTCACTGATGAGGCTATCTGATCAGTGAGTTATATTTCATCACTCTTGTTTAGATACAACATTGTACAACTAAAATATATATTTAAAAACTGGTAAAGGAGAAAAAATATTCAAATAGTTTCACAGGATCAAAGCATTAAAATTCAAAGGAAATTTAATAAAATGTAGACTTCTGCACGATTGTTTTAGCAATAGACTCAACACGGTATATTCCACAAGTTTTTATATACCGTACTTACCTATGGTATGTAAAGAATTATGATATAGTGCAGTGGTTCTCAACTTGTGTGTCCCCAGATGTTTTGGCCTTCCACTTTCAGATATCCTAACAGCTGGTAAACTGGCTAGGATTTCTGGGAGTTGTAGGCCAAAACACCTGGGGACCCACAGGTTGAGAACCACTGATATAGTGTATATATAACAACTACACCTATCTAGCATAAATCACCAACAAGCGTGTTAAATACTTACATTGTGCACAGCTTAGTAGTGCCAAACCAATAGTTTTTGTTCAGAGCTGGAAATGCAGCACATTTTTGCTGCAAAATGCCAGCAAGGCTGTGCTCATAAAAACAGGGCTTGTCAGTACTTTCTTCAGTCCAATTCAGCTGGAACGCTGAAGGTTTTTGCTTCTCAGGAGGCTGTGTGGAGCCGGACAGTGTACGGAATTGCTTTTGAAGGTTCACTACCATTTCTGAAGACAGCAGAAGATCACAGCAGTAAGCCTAAACTCAAATTAGTATCACAGCACACAGATAAAACCCGAAACTTTTAGGAAGCAAGTGCCACAGGGAACACTCGCATTCCACACTCACTTTATTTCCTAAATGTTTAGGAGTGGGGTGGCAAYCATATGGCCTGTCTGATATTTTTGGACTGCAACTCCAAGCATATATCTGGCTTTACTAACAGGGGTCCATGACTCTTATTTCCAGTTCAGCAATAGTGCTGATTGTAAAGTATTAGCACTATTTCATGGAATCATAGAATAAARTAATATGGTTGGAAGARATGTCGTGGGCCATCCCATCCAACCCCCTGTCAAGAAACTGGAAAATCAAATTCAAAGCACCCCTGATAGATGGCCATCCAGCCTCTGCTTAAAAGTCTCCAAAGAAGGAGCCTCTGACACACTCCGGGGCAGAGAGTTCCACTGCTGAACTGCTCTTACTGTTTATTTTATTTATTTTATTTGCTATGCTTCTATACCGCCATTCTCAGCCCGAGGGCGACTCATGGCGGTTTACAAAATGGCACAATTCGATGCCCACAACAGTACAAAGATAATTTAAACATTAAAAACATTTAACATGGATCAAAAGAAATTCATTACAATTAACATCAATAAACATAATAATGTTAGGAAGTTCTTCCTAGTGTTCAGGTGGAATCTCCTTTCCTGTAGTTTGAAATCATTATTTCGCATCCTAGTCTCCAAAGCAGCAGAAAAGGAGCCTGCTCCCTTTGACTTCTCACATATTTAAACATGTCTCCTCTCAGCTTTCTCTTCTGCAGGATAAACATGGCCAGCTCTTTAAGCCACTCCTCATAGGGCTTGTTCTCCAGACCCTTGATCATTTTAGTTGCCATCCTCTGGATACATTCCAGCTTGTCAACATCTCCCTTCAACTGTGGTGCCCAGAATTGGATACAGTGTGATTCTGGGTGTGATCTGACCACGGCAGAATAGAGGGATAGAATGAATTCCCTGGATCTAAGCACTATGCTCCTATTTATGCAGGCCAAAATCCCATTGGCTTTTTAAGCTGCCGCATGACATAATTGACTAATGTTTAACTTGTCCGAGAACACTCCAAGATCTTTTTCATAGCTTCTTTTTCTTGAAGAAATATAATAATGGTGTCATCATCCTGCAGAATTTTGATACCTTGTTATGCATATTTTAAAGGCTTAAATACTCTTCAGAATTGCATGAAAAGAAGAGTTTTCAGAAAACAGTGCCATAACTTTAGCTTGCTTTGAGTAAACAGTGCAAGAGGATAGTAGGGCCTTCCTCTTTCCCAAGGCACTAAGGACAAATTATTTACAGTATTGGAAAAAGAACTAGGAGGAATTCAAGAATAATCCTTAGGTTACATAATCTGGGCAATGCAAGGATGAGCACAGATGACTAGGTCAGGTCTGTCTCTAGTTCCTTTAACAAATTCTGGTTCCCTCTTTGCCCTTGCAGATTTGTTGTGCCCATAAATATCATGGCAATCGAGTTCTAAAGCTCAATTCTATCAAGAAACAAGTAGTTTGGGCATCAATTGTCCAGGAAAAACTATTATCTTCAATGTTTTTTTTAAAAAGGGAAAGGAATAGCATGCACACTTACGATGCCTTTTGTGAACTATATGCTTTTTTGTTGCTGAAAAGAATACCGGTTTCTCACATCTCCATAAACGTCTGCAGATGAAAAAGTTGAGTTATTGGTATGGAACAGAGATGGAGAAAGAATGAAGAAACAGTATGTGGCCCTTGATGGATCTTCGTGGAAACATTAGGGCCCCACTGATCCCATGGGCTTCCAACATCACCCCACAAAATACTTTAAAACAGCAAGAATCCACCCCCATATTAATGAACACTTCAAAGTATTTTAAACTCTGAAGTGTGCCTGTGGCCCTTTTCAGGTGTTCCAAATCAGCAGGTATGGCCGTCTAGCTCTGGATTATGCATTGATGTCTTACAGAACAACCTAATGTTACTACCTCTTTGATTCCAGCATTCTTTCTGCAAATGTGAGAAATGTAAACACTCTTTGACTCTTACTGTGGTTACATGTGATCAAGGAACAGTTAAATGTACCCTAACAGGTCATTGTTGTTGTTGTTTTTAATGGGCCTTCAAGAAGATTCTCACCTATGGCAACTCTTTCATGGGGTGTTCTTCAGAGGGTTTTTTTATTGTCTTCCTCCGGGAAAATGTAACTGACCCACTAGTGTCATTCTATGACAGAGTAGTGATTTGAGCCCTGTTCTCCCAAAATCATAGCTCAATTCGCAACCCATCATGTTGGACAGGATTACACTCCCCCTGAATACACACGTTCACAACTTGGGAGTGATCCTAGACTCATCACTGAGATGGAATTCCAGGTCTTGGCGGTAGCCAGGGGAGCTTCTGCACAACTAAAACTTGTCCGCCAGCTGTGCCCGTACCTTGGGAAGTCTGACTTAGCCACAGTGGTCCATACTCTGGTTACATCCTGAATAGACTACTGCAATGCACTCTACATGGGGTTGCCTTTGAAGACTGCCCGGAAGCTCCAACTGGTCGAACAGTCAGCAGCCAGGTTGCTCACCGGATTGGCATACAGAGAGCATACAATCCCTCTGCTACGCCAGCTCCACTGGCTGCTGATCTGCTACAATTCAAAGTGCTGGTCTTAACCTTTAAAGCCCTAAACTGTTCTGGCCCAGATTACCTGTCCAAATGTATCTCCCATTACAAACCATCACAAAGTTTAAGGTCAGCCAGAGAGGCCTGCTTTTGATCCCACCACCATCGCAAATGCGACTGGTGGGGACAAGAGACAGAGCCTTCTTAGTGGTGGCCCCTTGCCTTGGAACTCTCTACCCAATGACATCAGATTGGCAACCTCCCTCCTGTCCTTTAGAAATAAACTCAAAACCTAGTTATGCGACCAAGTGTTTGAACGACAAGGGCAAAAATCGAGAATAAGACTCAAGTGATATGAATGACAATGGACTGACCCGAACTTGGATTTTAAACTTGCATGATTTTATACAAATGCCTTATTAATGTAATGTTTTAATGAACTGTTTTAAATGTATTTTTATGAATGTGGATGGCACTGAATAGTGCCTTTTGTGAAGCCACGCTGAGTCCCCCCTTGGGGGTGAGAAGGACAGGTTACAAATTTATTAAATAAATATTTTTTTTTTTCAGTCCTCACATTGGCTGTAAAAGCCATTGTTTTTTCCTCCAATCTGCTTTTTCTAGCTGATGTAACGAAAGGTATCTCCTTTCAAACTGTTGCTGATTGATTGGATCAAGATGCTGATTGACTGGATTGAGATGTGCTGCCTGAGGTTTAATGCATTTCATTTGTGTTTTACATTTTAAATTGCATTGGCGATGAGGCAACTGAGTTGGATCCAGACCCAGGCATTCAGATTGGAGCTGGCAGAACAAACAGCCATATCCCACTTAGGCTCCCAAAATTGCTACAGAGAGAATTGGGACAGCTTGCTCAATATGGCAGGGCTCTTCTTGAAGAACGTGCCTCCACTTGATCCCCATCCTTCTGCAACATAGACGAACCCATCCAATGGGTCAATTGATCTGCTGTGAAGCACTTGGGGGGAGGAGAGGGAGGTATTGGATTGCCTCCACAGCAAGAAGAAGGAGAGGATATTATTTCTACAAGCCACTTCCATGTGACTGAATCTGAACGCAACCTGTTATTTTAAAATATATACAGTAATTCACTTATATATTGTATGCCACTATGGGAATGCTAATTGGCAGAATAAATAAAATAGAGCTAGGCTGGGAAAGCAGCATGAAAGAAAAAAGTAAACCTCTTCTGGGTCTCAAGGCTCTGCTCCTGATGAAGAACACACAATCTGATTCATATATATTGTTTAGACAGTGGTTTTCAAGCTGTGGGTCCCCATGTGTTTTGGCCTACAACTCCCAGAAATCCCAGCCAGTTTACTAGCTGTTAGGATTTCTGGGAGTTGTAGGCCAAAACATCTGGGGACTCACAGGTTGAGAACCACTGGTTTAGAAAAATATGAACAGAGGAGATGTAGCTCAGATCTCCATCAGATCATCTAGTTAAGTTCTGGGGCGACAGAGCTGCTGCACCCCTAAACAAGCATAGATAAAAGATTAGAATGACTACCCCAAGTATTAACTACTAAAAATGTTTTGAATTTCTTTGTAATAGTAGCAAAAGGAGTCAGGTAAACATATCAAAGTGAATCTAAAAGGTTTACACAAGAAGAATTGGATTTCCTACATTTTCTTTCCTATTCTCCAGTTCTGTTCAGAGTTATCACACACATTCTCAATATCACATGAAAGACTGCTACTTTCTGAGCAATATACCTGATCCTTTCTTCATTAAATTTCTTCTGTTCGATATCCAGAGTGTTCTTTATAACTCCATACCATTTTTCAATATCAAAGACTGGAGATCCTGTAAGAAATGTGCTGTCTCTTAATTTTTACATAATTCTTTATTTCCTGGAACTAAAAGAAGCATTTTAGCCTCATCAGAACAGTGCAACGTAGAAAAGCTATGTAACATAAGAAAGAGAAGTCAACCTGATTAAAAGTTCACTCCCAAAGCCTCAGTAAAACATCCTGAACTGATTCCCTTTAAAAGTATTATGCCAGTGGTGTATAATGCTATTTGTTTCTTGATATTCTAGGATACTTTGCACTTAGCAGAAGAAATCCATGAGTCCAATTAATTACTATTAATTACTGCCCCTGGTGGCGCAGCGGGTTGAACCACTGAGCTGCTAAACTTGCTGACTGAAAGGTTGGTGGTTCGAATCCAAGGAGCGAGATGAGCTCCCATGGTTAGCTCCAGCTTCCACCAACCTAGCAGTTCAAAAATATGCAAATGTGAGTAGATCAATAGGTACTATTTCTGCAGGAAGGTAAGGGCGCTTGTCACATGACCTTGGAGGTGTCTATGGACAATATGGGCTTTTTGGCTTAAATGGAGATGAGCACCACACCCCAGAGTCAGACACGACTAGACTTAATTTCAGGGGAAACCTTTACCTTTACTAATTAATTACTGGATGTTCTTTGAAGAAGGGCATCTAGGTGGCTCTGTTCTACATAGTACTATACACCAATATAATTATTCTGCTTTGCACCCTACGAAGATGGTATTGACCAGAGTTTCTCCTTCTGATGTTTTGTACTTCAGCTCCCACAATTCCTAACAGCTGGTAAGCTTGTTGGGATTTCTGGGAGCTGAAGTCCGAAGCACCTGGAGGAGCACCATTTGAGAAATACTTGTCTTGACTACTGTGTTATATCTCTCGAAAGGAAGAGCTACTGCTGACAAAACAAAACAAAAACTGTTTAGCATCAGCAAAGCTGGTGGTGAAGACAAGAATTTGCCTCACAAATAGAGATAGATTGCAATTGTAAAGGCAGTTGGTGATCTCTTTACTGTGATTAACGAAAGATAACTGAATTATACAGGTTGGGCTTCCCTTATCTGTGATTGCAAAATCCAAAATTGTCCACATGGGTGGCTGAGACACTGATAACTTTGCTTTCTTATGGTTCAATGTACACAAACTTTGTTTTATGCACATTTTTTTAAAAAAAATGTTGTACGAAATTGCCTTCCATATGCAAATATTCCAAAATCCAAAACACTTATGGTCCCAAGCATTTTCAGATAAGGAATACATAACCTGTATTTACATTCATCCACACAAAACTTTCCTGTGTTTTTGAAAACTGAGGCTTCATCAGTTTGTCTGTACTGTCTACATTTAAGATACTTTGAACTCCAGTACATAAGAGTTTACTATCATTCTGACAGTGCTTATAGGAAACATGGAAACACCATATGCTTCGTATCACACACAGTTCTTTTTTGTACTTTAGTATGGTTTGAGAATGTCTTTTCCTTTTCAGTTCACAGAAGCTACTACCAACCAAACCATCACTACTAGCATGCTAAAAATAGTACCCTTAAATTACACTTTATTGAGAATGTATCGATAAAGAAATACTTAAACAAGATGTTGATGACAGCCCTATCACAAAAGCCATCCTATAAATTAAGATTAGCAAAAGGAGAAATAAAAGAAGATATATTTGATAACACATGAAGCCATGTATTAGCTTCTTGTGTAAAAGCAGTGGCAATTTTAAACCATTAAATGCCTAAGAAATATTGTGGATGAGCAATTAGAAAACATACTATAATCATTATCTAATGGATTAAATTAGAATAAATAGAAGTAATGGAATTGACAAGAGCTGTATTTTATAATGCTATATGAATGATAGGAAGGGTGGAGAATGTATAGATTTGAGAACTGATGATGTGACAATTGTATTACGTTTTAAACGTTTTGAAATAAAAACAATTTAAAAGAAATTCAAAAATAATTTTAAAATGACCTTTGTACCTTCTTTGTTGTCCTTGTTCTTCTCTTTAGCAATGTCTGCCAGTTGCCTGAAAAATACATCCATCAGATTTAATCTTTACAAGCTTGGGTACCTGCCATTGCTCAGGTTATTTGAAAAAGTCAATTTTTAATTGTACAAAATGCATAAGGTTGTGGGTGAACTACAACTCACATCATGCCAGGTTAACCCCAAAAACTCCATCAGTTACTTAGATGGACAAGTTGGGTAAGTTTGCTCTAGATGCATCATCGGTGGGGTTCAGTGTACTATCTAGATGTAGGGTAAACTACAACTCCCACTATGATGAGTCAGTCCCCTCAAACCATTCCAGGAGATTGAGTTAGTCATGGGGGTTCTGTGTGCCAAGTTTGGTCTAGGTCCAGCATCGGTGGAGGTCACCATTTCTCTGGTTGTGGGTACACTACAACTCCCAGAAAGGAAGACCAGTTCCCCCCAAACCCCTCCAGTAATCAAATTTCAGCATATCAGGTATATGTACCAAGTTTGGTCCATATCCATCGATGTTTGGGTTAACAGTGCTCTCTGGATGTAGGTGAACTACAACTCCCTCAAATCAAGCTGAATTTTCCCCAGAGACCTGCAGTATTTTTTGCTGGTCATGGGGGCTCTGTGTGCCAAGTTTGTTCCAATTCCATCTTTGCTGGAGTGCTCCTTGATGGCAGGTTAACTATAAATCCCAGTACCTACAACTCTCAAATGTCCAGGACAATTCCCCTCAAACCCCACCAGTATTCAAATTTGGGCATATTGGGTGTGCGTGCCAAGTTTGGTCCAGATCCATCATTGTTTGGGTTCATAGTGCACTCTGGATGTAGGTGAACTCCAACTCCTATACATCTGTGCAAAGACTTCCAGTATGTTTTGTTGGTCATGAGGGTTTGGTGTGCCAAGTTAGTTCCAGGTCCACCATTGGTGGAGTGCAGAGTGCAGTTCGTAGACTGCAGGTGAACTACGTATCCTATAAATCTACAACTCCTATAAATCATGGTGAATTCTCCCCAAACCTCTCTTGTATGTTCAGTTGCTGTTCGATTCTTCTGTTTGCTGTGCGGGAAAGGGTTAAGGGAGAGGCAGTGTGCGGATCATGCAAATCCCACACCAATTGAGAGAGTAAGAAACACTTGTATGTCTGAGGTGGAGGAAACACATAATATCTAGGATGAATTGTCCCTGTATGAAAACCTTTACTTGGGTGGTGCACAGGATTGTGTTTGTGGAGGACATTAGCAGGGTTCTTGTACATGTTCATGGCTCTTACTATAACCTGCAGTGTCATTGGAGGGACGGCCATTGGGAGCTACTGTTTGTGGAGGCGGGAGCTTGTCTATGTTTAAGGGTTTTTTTGTCATGTCAGAAGCGACTTGTGTGAGAGAATTGGCCGTCTGCAAGGACGTTGCCCAGGGGCGCCGGATGTTTTGATGTTTTTACCATCCTTCTGGGAGGCTTCCCTCATGTCCCCACATAAGGAGCTGGAGCTGATAGAGGGAGCTCATCCGCACTCTCCCCGGATTCAAACGTGCGACAGGTCTTCAGTCCTGCTGGCACAGGAGTTTAACGTACTGCGCCACCAGGGGCTCTTCTGTGTTTAAGTGGACACCCCAGACACACAACACACACATATTTTCACATTTATTACGTGTATAGATTGGAATCACGCTCATCCTTCTTTTCTTATCTCCCATCAAACCCTCTTATCAAACCATCAAAATTCTAAGGGCTGATTTTAAAACTGTTTGCCTAGGTGGAGGCTACTAAAAAACAATTCTGTGTAGATGTTCTCCATGCATACAACATGTCCAAACAAGTTCCTGCTGACATCCAGAAAGTGCAATACTGACACGAAAGCCAATATGGTCAATGCAGGACAAGTACTACACCAATGAGCAAAATCCCATGTGTTTTTGTCTCCATGCGAGATAAGTATCAGTTGAAGCAGCATCTGATAAGCATCAGTGACAGTCATCCCCTTTTAGGTTCTGAAGGACACTCTGGCCTGGCTGACAAACTGCGAGGAAAATAATCAAGAGAATACCAAATTTTATGCACATATATAAAAATACTAAGTAAGGGATACTTTTCACTTAGTCCTACTTCTACTTGTTAGGCCCCGAATAAGTAGTTAAAGACACCGCTTACATTTTTATGTTACTGATATGTTATAACTCTTCTTTGTTATGCACTTACCACTCATACTTGTCATCCAAAAAGAACAGGATTTTGAGCACCACTATAACAGTGGCTACAGCAAGAATGTCATATTTCACTCTTTCGGGTGATTTCTTTCCAGGCTGTAACTTCAGGAAGTCTATTTCACCAATGCCAGTTTTTTTAATCACTCTACATGTCCAGTTGTGCATATCATCTGAATTGAGGGGGAAAAAAACAATTATGTTGGGGGCAATTTTCAAATGTTATACAATTCAAATGCAGAAGCACATTATGCAAAGGGAATAGTACAGCTGCTCACCGATCGCTACCCACAATAAACCGACTTCTGTGTAGTAATTTTATAATGTTTGAAGCAGCCACACAGTTGCTATCTCAAGTGTGCTTACTAATATATATGGAACTGTGTTGTAAATACACATATTTAAAACCGAGGCATTCACATTTATTTATTTATTTACTACACTTGTGTCTCGCCTTTCTCACCCCGAAGGGGACTCAGAGCAGCCTTACAAAGACAACAATTAGATGCCACATATATACATATCAATAAAATAAACAAATACACTAAAATCCAAAACAGCAACAAACAAGATGATCATAACAGGACATCTCAGAGATCAAGGCAGTCCACACAAATAAAAATATTACAGTATACTGTCTGAGGAACTGCACATATCAAATGCCATAAGAAAATGATGCTAAGAACAGGGCAATCTACACCCACAAGCCCTCACCAACATGTACACTTGCCTTTCTAATGTCTTGTTAATTAAGATAATAAGACGCAATATTCAAGCAGGGTCAGAAATTATGCAGTCCTTCACATGTTGGTAAACTACAGCTACTAACAACACCCCATAATTGAGAATGCCAACTGTATCTGTTTTGAAGTCCACATCTGGAGGACCACATGATTCCCAGCCCTATGTTAATGGTTAGTAAGGAGTAATGTACTCATTCATTCTTAAACTTTTCCACTCAGGATTCCTTTTGGCCTGAGATTTTTTTTATGCATTTAGGTATGTAAAACGTTTGCAGGCCCGGTTGGGGTTTGTATGTGTGTGTGTGTGTCAGGGGCAACTTGAGAAACTGCAAATTGCTTCTGGTGTGAGAGAATTGTCTGTCTGCAATGATATTGACAAGGGGATGCCCAAGTGTTTGATGTTTACCATCCTTATAGGAGGCTTCTCTCATGTCTCCGCATGGGGAGCTGGAGCTGACAGAGGGAGCTCAACCCACTCTCTCCAGATTTGAACTGCTGACCTGTCACTCATCAGTCCTGCTGGCACAAGGGTTTAACCCATTGGTGAGGACGAAATACAGTGTCTTCTCGGTTGCCCCTCGACTGTGGAACTCCTTCCCCAGTGATATCAGATCAGCCTTCTCCCTCCGATCTTTCACAAAAAACTTAAATCCTGGCTGTGGAAGCAGACTTTTGGTAAGTAAAAATTAAAGTGCAATAAACACTCGCAGACCCGACACAGGAAATAATCAGGATGATGATTTCAGGATTGGTGATTTGGTTACATGTCTTAACTGGTTTTAATTGTAATTAATATGTTTATTGATTTTAATGATGTATTGTTGTTTATTGTATAACTGTGCCAATGAATTTTTGCCAAAATTTGGAAGCCATTCTGAGTTCCCCTCGGGGTGAGAAAAACATAGCAGAAATAAAGTAAATAAATATAAACATCAAATATACTGATAAGAAATCAGCATTTGCAAGACTTACTCAACAGGCTAATTTCCCTTTTTCTGAAGGACAACAGATGCATTTTCTGTGTTGTCCACTGCACAACAGATCTGCGTAAATGTCTAAAACAACCATGAGATGATGTTCACAATTTTTATTTTGGGACCCCAACATAGAGCTAAGGGGACTCCATTTGTGATCGGGACCCACTGTTTAAGAAGCCCTGAGCTAGAGGATATTGACTTGCTGAATGTGCAGCAATAAGTAACTCTTTCAAAGGCCAGCCAGTCAATCAATTGTGGCAAATTCTTAATCAGAAATGTTTTTAGTTCCTCCAAGCAATGCAACAAAAAATCACACAAAAACAGCAACCAAAAATTCTGCACAATCTAACCAAAATAGAGCACTGCTGACGTCCATCGATTTCAACAATACATAGATTTAAGACAAATCTAATGTTCCACCTGAAATAAATGACTTTATCATACTTAATTTGGGTCTGATCATGCCTACATGAATCTTAGTAACTGTTTTGGGCTTTTTCTTTTACCAATTTAAAGGGAACGCACCACATTCATACTGTTGTACAATACTTTTCCAAAAGACAGCAAGAACAAAATTTCCTACTCTTCTAGTTTAGCAAGAATGTTGTGACTCAGTTCCTTCACTGGATGCCATAGGGGCTGTAAGTAAAATATGTACAGTGCTTACTTATACAAAGACATTTGATGGTAGTTAATATTTGTGAATTCTAAAGGTAAGCACTGCTGATCAACCTATTCAACAGATTTTTTCCTAATCTTAACTATGAACAAGAAGTACAACATCTTGCAGTAAAGTACTGCACAAGCGTCATAGCCCTGCGACTGGGACATGCAGTTTCATCAAACCATATCTGACAAAATACCCTATATGTCATCTCTAGGAATTGTGTATGTCCTCCTGGCAATTCTATGGAATGCTTCTGCTTGAAGTTACCACAGAGTCATGTTGGAGGACTCTACTTCTGATGGAAATCATTCCTTTCAACAAGATTTCCATGGAATGTTCAAAGATGTATCTCCTGTGTATACAGGGGTTGTAATGTACTCTAAAAGTAGGTATGATTCCATGTGAATGTTGCCCTTACCAGGTAAGTTAACTTCCATCAAGTACTTCATACAAAGAATGTTTGGATGAAGGAAGCAGCTCTCTGATATATCTGGAAAACATGGCAGCTCGATGTATTTTGCAAGGTCATGCAATTTTTTGTGGACATCTTCATATGTAGGCCAGGACTGGAAGACAAAATTGTACAAACACACATTAAGAATGCTGTTCTTCCTTACATTTCAAAATGTCAAATTGTTCTTCCAATATATCATTACCACACAAGACACACAAAGCAGCGGATCTGTCTGGTCAAGAACTTTGTTTTTGGTCTGGGACCTTGCCACCTAACCCAAACATAAATACAACAACCGAAACATGAAACTTCAAAAGATCTGTTATCAGTTGAGCTAGAACTGCTTTTGGTCTGTCAGTTCACAACGATGCTGCTCCCCCCCTTCCTTGTAACTATCTTTGAGAAAGATCTGCAGTATTCAGGCCACAAAGTCATATGTAAAGTATAAAATACAAAACAAGTATTTCTTGTTTGCTAATAAGGTGTATGAAAAGTAAGCTACAATTCATCTTAACATGCATCCCCATTCAAACATATATGCTGGTGGAGTTTATGTCAAAGCAGGCCTTCAAAAGGAATAACAGGAGCTTCAAGTTTAATGCATTGGTTCAAGTACATTGTTTTAATTTAAAGAAAACAGAGAACATTCAACAATCCTTTAACTGGGTTGCTGAGCATATATACCTTGTTTTAGCCAAACACAATAAAACTTGGGGTTGCTGTGAGTTTTCCGGGCTGTATGGCCATGTTCCAGAAGCATTTTCTCCTGACATTTCGCCTTCATCTATGACCCAGGCATCTCTCTATGACCCACCCTGGAGGTTGTGAGGTCTGTTGAAAACTAGGCAAGAGGGGTTTATATATCTGTGGAAAGTCCAGGGTGGGAGAAAGAACACTTGTCTGCTTGAGGCAAGTGTGAATGTGGCAATTGGCCAGCTTGATTAGCACTGAAAAGCCTTGCAGCTTCAAATCCTGGCTGCTTACTGCTGGGGAGAATCCTTTGTTAGGAGGTGTTAGCTGCCCCCAATTGTTTCCTGTGTGGAATTCTCCTGTTTTTTGAGTGTTGCCCTTTATTTACTGTCCTAATTTTTAGTTTTTCAAAATACTGATAGCCGGATTTTGTTCAATTTCATGGTTTCCTCCTCTCTCTGTGTAGTCTGACATAGTAGTTATTAAAAGTGGTAGTTAAAATCCTTTAACTACAAAGAAATGGATAAGCAAGATCCATTTCTGGCCATAAAAGCCTTCGACAATACGATAAGCAAGATTTCGTGTCAATTTAATTGATTTGGTGATAGCTTCAGGTTGAGATGGCATCATTGATTTCTACTTAATGCTTAATATCTTATGAGTGCTCATCATTAATAATTGGTTGGGAAGGACAGGATGAGGAAACAAGCCTGGATCTAACCGCCTGAGTCTACTGCACATAAAACACGAAAATTGTTACCTAAATAAAATTCTGGTTTGAAGCTCTGCTCCCATATTGGGGTTGGCTGCCTCCTGATGCGGCTTCCCTGACACACATATAGGACAGCACCCCTGGATCCAAGTCAGTGATTGTATATTCACTTAACAAATGTAGTTTTAAAAAGGTTTAAAATGCTTCTTTGATAACCACAATGTTGTGAATGTAGCTTTCCAAATTGTTTCATAGGGGAAATGTTTTCCGAATGTATCTCTCTGTATGATGCACCTTGGAGGTTAAGATAGTTGGGGAAGGCCCTGCTCTTGGTCCCACCCCCCCCCTCGCAAGCGCGACTGGTGCTCGAACTACTGTACTACACTGGATCTCAACAGTAAGTATAGTATTACTCACAACATCAGTCCAAGCCTATAAATAGCTCCCTAGCTAAAATATCTGCATGAAATCTGCTGTGGTAATCTTGTACCATAAACAGTATTATCATTACAAATTATTGTGATTATAAGCTTTATTGAACCAAACCAAGTATTCCTGACCACTGAACAAGCAGGCTAGGGCTTCTGGGAGTTGGAGGACCAAACAGTTGGAGGGCCGTAGTTTGAGGATGCCTGAACTAAACAAAGAAAGGAGGGAATGATGTAGTAAGAATTATAATCGGCCCACTGTATCAACGGATTCAACCATCCATGACTTGGAAGTGTTTTTTAAAAATTCAAAAAGTAATAGCAACAATAAATTGTTGTCCCCTGTCTTTCCTTGTGGTGGGGTACAACAGAATTAAAACAGAACGATAGAACACAGCACTATTAAAATACATATAACACAAGAATACATTAATGAAATGTTTGTTAAAATTCACGGGTTAAAATTGACCAGGTAGGCCTTCCAATAGAGACAGTTCTTCAGTTGTGTCTTGAATTCTAACAGCTGATTTAGCTGCCAGAGCTCTTTTGGCAGGTCATTCCACCATTTTGGGGCGGCTGATAAAAAGGTCCTTTGGGACTTGATTATGCTATTTTCCATAATTTTTTTGTATATAATGTATATAAAATCTTCCTATATAATGGGACCAGAGCATCTAGAGCAGGGGTCCTCAAACTTTTAAAGCTGATTCATGATCCCTCTGACTGTTCATGGTCCCTCTGACTGTTGGGGGGCTCGACTATAGTTTGAAAATAAGCACAAATTCCTATGCACACTATACATAGCTTATTTGTAGTGCAAAAATATAAGAACAAAACAATATTTAAAATGAAGAATGTTTTAAACAACATAAACTTATAAGTATTTCAGTGGGAAGTGTGGGCTTGCTTTTGGTTAATGAGACAAGTTAATTAGGATAGTTTTTTTGTTTTGTGTCTTCATTTCAGTCTTAGGCTGACCCTAAGTCTTAAGCTTCGGGTGGGTGCTGGCTAAATGACCTTGGAGGGCTGCATCCGACCCATGAACCTTTGTTTGGGGACCCCTACTCTAGATATTTTGATATTTACAAGGGATCCAAGCAGATACCAAGCATTCACTAAGCCTTTTAAACGTTTATTTAGTATTTCGGAAATAAAACAATTATTTTGTAAATTTCATTTTTTGATAATTTCAATGAAACAGAAAACATGTTTAGGGTTCCAGAACCTGAAAATAATTTCAGCCAAACTTCTACTCATGCATATAAATGTTTACAAGCTATATTACACTCCAAGACTTTAGAGGAAAGTTTTTTTCAAGAAAGTTTTCTGCCTGAAGGGCTTTTCTTGAAAAACAAGAAATTCATGTATTACAGGTCTGTTACACATCAGGGTTTACATTGCACTTCAGTCATTTTTAGGACAGTAGTCATACAAAATGAATCAACAACAATGAGAGCTACATGTTGGAAGCAACACACTTCCCTTGATATTTCACAACTAATAAGCCTAGGTATGACTTCCTGAATATTTGAAAAGGAAATGTTCAGAACGTTTGCCTTCTTAGGCTACCCCTTTCTAATAAATCATGCCAAAATGCTCATTTAACTTCTGAATTAAATGGAAAAAGATGTTTGATTCTGAAATACATAAACTAAACAAAGTCACATTCAATCCTAAACCACAACAAATGTTAAAATATTAGATATGAAATATTAAAGAGTTATTGATGGCCTCAGAGCAAATTCAGAACAAAGATTAAAGGAATCTTGTTTATGATACGGGTTGAGCACCCCTTATTCAGAACACTGAAATCCAAAATGTTCCAAAATCTGAAATTGTCTACATGAGTGGCTGAGAAAGTCACATCTTTGCTTTGTGATGGTTCAGTGCACAAAAACTGTGTTTCATGCTCAAAATGAATAAAAAAATGTATAGATTACTTTCAAGTGTATGTGTATGTGGTGTATACGAAACATCAATGAACTGTCATATTCTCCAAGATATCTCTCTATGCATAATATAGAGATTCCAAAATCCAAAAAGAATTTCTGGTCTCAACCATTTTAGATAAGGGATACTCAAGCTATATAACCACAGAAAGCCACGTTTTCTGGAGGTAAGGCCACAGGACACACATGAAAATGAAAAAAAAATGAATAAAGATATTTGCTATTTTTTCAAAATTACGAGAACACTTCTCTAGGAATTTCTTTGTCTCCCTGCATGATTCTATGGTTGACTTCCACTGGAATCTGGGCACAGAATGTACAGGAGTGCCTGGACATTACAAGAGGGAATATTTTAATCACATTTGCAAAAGTTAAAACTGGAAATGTGGAGGGACGACAATGGAACCACTTCCCTAGTGAAATTGGCAAGACTTCTTTCCTATTCTTCATCTAAGTTAACCAGGGAAGGTTAACTAAATCACAAAATATTATTGGAAATGACCTACCGATATGAGGGGAGACATTTTATACTGAGATATTGTTTGCAATGAGCTATGTCAACTGTTACCTTGACAGTTAACATCTTAAACAAGAGTTCTCCCTAAACATGAACTTTTAAATTCAACTCGACACTTGAAAAAATTAAGGACCCAGCTAGGCTAAGTATGATTGTGTTAGGGCATGTAAGAAATCAGTTAGTTTATATGTATTAGCTGTAAAATGCAAGGCACAAAGCTGATTGGTTGGGCCATGCCCAGGGAGCTAGCTGAGCTTGGGAATTTTGGCAACAGTTTCATATTCAGGCTTGAGCTATGATGTGCTTGCAGAGAGAGAGAGTTCTTGCTTCATGAGCTGCTGGAAAGAGATTTTCCACATGCACACCAAAAGACCATTTATATCTCTCTAAAAGAACATTTAGTGAGTCAATGCAACTGATCTCATGATTGTAAATATGTTGTTCTGTTTTACGAAGAGTAAAATACTTTTTCTTTGTTGATAATCTGTGTGGCATATTTTCTTTCTCTGGCAAGACAGTGTGTGAACTGATAAAATGTGAACTATGTGTGGTTTGCATTATGCCAACAGATTGTGCAGGAACGTTATACGTTGGGGATCACCAGTGAAACAGAACTTAACTCAAGAACTCCCCCCATCATTCTCTATGTGCCTCTTGCCCTGCACAATACAACTATGTAAAATGAGAAACGAGTGTTACTGGTCCCAGCCTTATAACAACCACAAAGAGTGTGTTCTTTCTTCCCACTCATCATATCTTTACTCTCATGTCCCACCAGATTTTACATCTCAGCCTAATCTAGATTAAATTGAGATA